GTGTAGACTTTTATGCTAACAGTTAGCCTCCTTTTGCTGAGCACTTGGAAGGTGGGTGTCTTCCAGATTTATGTCCCAACCCTCACCTTTGCCCCTGCCTTGGAATCATGTGTTACAGCTTACAGTAACAGCGATGCCATTTGAGAGCAGACAAGTTGCTGTGTGCTTTCACTTGGATGCTGAACCCAGCCTGCCCCTTAACTAGCTGTGTGACATTGGGTGACTGACTTGGGTCCTTTAAAGCCTCTACTTCCTCATCTAGAAAGTGGGGATAATGATATTGTCTACTTTGTTAGAAAGATGGTCAGGAATGAATGAGATAGTTCTCTTAAAACCCATAGCATGGCACCTGGCACACGGTTTCTGCCCAGTTAACAGTAGCAGCTGTTGGTGATGATGCTAAAGGCGAGACTTCTCATTGGTCAGTTGTTCGGATTACAAAAGATTAGTAAAAGGTTTAATAAGATAAAAGAGCCCTGAGTAAAAGTTGTTTTGTGGGGGTCTCTTAGTCGTTAGCCACTCTTGCATGATGCCAGTTGAGAATGGGAGAGATTGATACTGTGCTCATGAATGATAGTATGCTTTGCTTTATTTTGGCATGTGTGAAATTGAGACCAGAACACCAAATTAAATTTCACTTTTTAAAAAGCATCTATTAATATTTGATAGTCAAATAAACTGTATTATAGGAAAACAATAGACCTATAATACCAGGGATAACTTTTTTAAAAAGCTTGACGTACATCCCTCTAGATTTCTTTCAATTATGAATGAAAGCATTTGAAGTTACAATTTGTCTTGACTGCTTTTTAGGTTTGTGCCCTAACTTTAACACTTTTGGTACATTATAAATTATTTTTAGTTTTCAAAGCACTATTTATTTGTGATATAAACAGATCTAGTTATTTGCTTTGAAATGTTTTTGGTTTCTGCCTAGGTGTTAATATTTATATTGTTGAAATCTCAGCATGAATACAAACTTGCAAGTGCAGTATTATTGGTGGTGTCCATTTTGGAAGACCTACAGGGAGCTGTCGTCTCTCCCACCACAACCCCCGTATCCTGCCCTTGCCTTCAGCCTTGTCACATGTTGAAGCCACCAGAGGGAAGAGAGGCCTGTGAAGCTCCCTCTCTGTCTCTCCTTCATCCCTTCTTCCCCTGCACCATGTCTGTCTGTCTGTCCCGTCATCCCTCCCGACACAATAATACACACACATACACACACACACTCGGGCATGTTTGTCTGCCTTTGTCCCTGCTCTGTCCCTGTATCCATACTTGTCTGTCTGTCGATCTGCACGCCTGTCTCCCCTTGCTGGAGCCGTGCACAGTGCCCTCCTCATTTAGGGACAGAGCGTGCTTTCTCTGGGCTGGTGCCAGACCCCGGAGAGAGGCGCGCTTTGAAAACTCAACTTGGACTCCTCAGCAGAGACCACATCGCGGTATGCTCAGCATCTGGCCGCCAGTCTGTCCATTTAATGTAAGGCCCCTAACCCTACCCGTACTCTGCCCGTTTCTCTTTTGATCTAGGAACACTTGTTTTTTTAACCTGGAAGCCCGGTTTAAAATCTTACGAAAAGTAAAGACCCGTGGTGAAAGGAAGAGGTGGGCCCATCTCGACTATGATTAATTGGGTTTTTCCGCCTTGCTTTTCTCGTGAGGGCAAAGCCAGAGGCTGTCCCTGTCACAGAAGAAGTTACCAGTCAATGAAGTAAAGGAACGCTTCATGCGGTAGCAGGACAGGAATCTGAGCTGGCACTCTCCTGCCAGGATCTCAGCTCCTTACACACACGTGTGCACACAGACACACACAGTCTGTTTCAAGTCTTGGTGCACGAAGGACATTCACGATACATTGCCACTCTTAGTTTTGAAATAGCTTTTATTGTTGAAGTAGAAAATAGAATTTTTGTGCAATATTAATACATCAGCATCCTTTCAGCGGTAGTCAATTTTAAATCTTGATTTTTCTAGTACTGAAGCCCATAGTAAGAGTTAATAGACAAGAAAAGATGATGTTAACTGAAGAAAACAGGGAGGGTGGACCATAATGGGAACAGAAAATTGAAAGGACAAGCGTAAAGTTAGTCGTCAGTGCTACTGTAACACAACACGCATTCCTAAAAACTTACTGCATTATGCAAAATTGTGCAATAAAAACCACATGAGGATTATTGGGAAAATGGGGTTACAGCACAACACTGGAAAACTCCATCAGTGACACACCGAGGAGATAGAACCCTGATGACAGCAGGAGCACGGTCTTACGTATGCTAAATAGTTTAAGAGTGCGTAAATACTAGAGTAAACATGCAGCTTATCCTGAAAAGGCCTGGCGTTTGCGTATTGTACTCGTGTGAGTTACTGTGAGGTGGTGGAGGAGCTCATCTGAAATCGGACGGAAAGTTGCGAGCCCCAGATGTGGACGGGTCCAGGCCGCGATCCAGGGTGAACTGAGGTGGGCCTCGGGTGTTCGAGGGGTGCACTTTGCATGTGCCCACGTGGCTCAGCTCAGCGAGGCGTAGTCTTCTGCACTCTGTTTTGACAGACAAAAATCACCAGAAAGCAAATACAAAATCGCATTATGCTCGAGTCCTTCCTCAGTGTGTCAGTGGCTTTGGAATACGTGTGCATTCTCAGAACAAGCTTTGTAGCAGAAGTGACAGTGTTTGATTACATCGGGAATGTTATCGTTTGCTCTGCAGAGAAAATACATCACATTCGCTCTGAGCCACCCGAGGGGGGTGGTACCCTGCTGCACCCTGGGCCGGTCTGGACGTGGATTGGGGAGTGTTTCGGGTTATCCCTGGCAGAGGGGCCTACGTGATAAAGTGGTAGGGGAGCCGGGAACACGAACCATCCTGAAGTCCTGCTGAAGAATCGTCCTGTCCAAAATGCCAATAATGCCCCCGTGGGAGACTGGTCAGTAGTAGACTAGGAGGAGGACAAAATGATAAGAGTTGTTAATTTAAATTAAAATGTTGAGTAAAAAAAGTATTTTATGTGACTTTGGTAAGAACAGTGAAAATAGTTTGCTGTTGATGGAAGTTTGAAAAACACTAGTTTAGGATAAATAGTAGCAAATACTTCCGTGTAGTGGCATGTGTCATGTACCAAGCAGTGTTCTCAGCACCATGTAGATGCTAACTTACCGAGCTGTGGGTAATAGTTGTTGAGGCGTCAGCCTGGTCTGGGGCAGTCTCTCAGCCTTGCTGCACAGTAGAATCACACAGGGAAGTGTGTCAAAGTCCGGGTGCCCAGGTTGCACACCAAACCAATTAAATCTAATCTCTGAAGGAGCAACCTGTGCATATGTGTTTTTTAAAGCTCCTTGGGTAATTCCTGCACGTAGCCGAGGTTGACAGCCACTGGTGTAGGGCCTTTTGAAAGTCACTCCTTTTCACAAGAAAAACCGTACCAGTCAGGCGGATGCTAATTGAGGACCTACTCTGTGCCGTGCCTTACAGAGGAAGACCACTGAGACACGGCTCCTAGGAACTTTGAGGCAGGTGACAAAGCGTAAACCGTTTGCAATTCTGGCTGACAAATGGCTGACATTTGGAAGTATGTTCGGAGTGTTTGGGGATCACAGAAGAGAATTAAAAACTAAATTAAAAAAAAAAAACCTCAGATCCCAAATTTGGAAAATTATTAAACGAAACTGACTTTAGTTTTCCTTTCTTACATACAGCTTTCATGCTGGGGGGAAGGGAAGGGAGAAGGCAAGAAGCACTTACACATTGCTGTCCATTTAACCTTTCTAACTTGATTGTAGCCTTTGTGCAGTTGAGTTGGGGAATTTGAATTCTGTCAGCAGCATAAGAATGTCTTCCTGGTGTAAAATAAGCTTTTAAGAACCTCGTAAGGCATCACTGAAGTAATGTCCTCCCAGGAATAAGTCTCCACGGCTTCACTGCGAGGCTCAGGACTACTATTAGAACTTTGGAACGTACCATTTAAGTGGCGCTTGTAGCCATCGATTCTAATATGCTTAATGTTTTAAATACTCGGATGGCTTCCATATTGTGATGTCAGTGTTGGACCACGTACATTTTAAAACTTATAGTTAAGCAAATGTGTGAATTTTAAGTTACGGGTTTAGTTGAAAGCAGCCACTAAGGTGCTCCAGTGGGTAAAGTTACCAAATAATTTACTTGTTTCCAACCATAACATCCTTCAGCAGCTCTTGATTTACATTAGTATGGATTGCCTGACTGAGAAAACCTGATTCTCCTGTGGATAGGTTTATTTTCAGCTAAACCTTTGTAGTCTGTACTTAACCATGAATTACTTCCTGGTTTAGAAAACAGGCGTAGCTATTTGTGGTATTTTTGTCTTGCGCCTTTGGCATCTTGGTGGTGTGAACCAGAGCTATGCCATCTGTAGTCAAGTGAGATTATTAAAAAGGGGGGAGGGTGAAGTGATTCACTGGAAAATTTCAGCACAGATTCTTGAGGAATGATAAGATAACTCTAGAAACAATCTTATTTGGTGTCACATGCTAGTGGGTAGTGACAGAAAAACAAAGAAGGAACAATTTGTTTCTCAAGATTTTGCTATTTTGAAAAGCAGAAAGGTGCTATGAGAGAAAGAAAGAATTCCATGCAGTGTGAATTAGCAGGGCTCTGCAGATGAATTAATGATTTTCCTCTCTGAATGCAAGTTGGAGCCAGTGTGTTTCATTTCTGGCATGCAAAACCCCAAAGGCAGTATTCTCATGTTGAGCCCGGTTGCTTAATTTCCTGATAGGTGTATGTGATACACCTTTTTCTGCTGAGATACTTGGGAAACAGAAGAACCCTTTCCTATAATCCTAAGTAAGTCTGTGAGACCTAGATAAGCCACGTCTGAAAGGGGCTGAGTTTAGCATATTTTCGCTTAATGGTACATGTTTTAACCTAACTGTGTTGATTTCAGGGAGCTCTTCCAGAGTTCCATTTGAGATTTGCCTGAAACGTGGTGTCTTTTTTTTTTTTTTCTATTCTCTTTTTTGTTTCCAGAAAGAAGACATAGCTCATCCAGCAAGCCTTCTCTGGCCGTTCCTCCCACTTCAGTATTTTCCTTCTTCCCTTCTCTGTCCAAAAGCAAAGGAGGCAGTGCAAGTGGAAGCAACCGTTCTTCCAGCGGAGGTGTCCTTAGCACGTCCTCGTCCACTTCCAAGCTGTCGAAATCGCCCAAAGAGAAACCGCCACTCAGGGGGAACACCAGGCCAATGCACCCCATTCAGCAGAGTAGAGCCCCCCATAGTAGAATGTGAGTATGGCCAAAAAGGCTTCTAAGGCTTCCTGACTAGCAATGCAGCACTGGCGTCTGGCAGCGTCTGCAAATACCGTGAAAGAGAGCCCATTTGGGGAGAATGCAAATATGTGTTGTTGGTTCTTTTTTTTTTTTTTTTTTTAATCCCTTATTGTATCTTAGGAAATTTTTTCAGAGTAGTACTAGCAATAATAATAAGTTTAATGAGACTTACTTAGTGATCCTTTATTATGTGCCTGACACTAGGCTGTGTATGTGTACTCATTGAATTCTCACAAGCATCCTGTGGCAGGCGTCCTCAAACTACGGCCCGCGGGCCACATGCAGGTGTTTTTTGCCCGTTTGTTTTTTTACTTCAAAATAAGATGTGTGCATAGGAATTTGTTCATGGTTTTTTTTAAACTATAGTCCGGCCCTCCAACGGTCTGAGGGACAGTGGACTGGCGCCCTGTTTAAAAAGTTTGAGGACCCCTGCCCTGTGGGATAGATAACGTTGTTATCCTCGTTTTCCAGAGGAGGAGAAGGAAGCTTAATGAGGTGGAGGAGCTTTGTCCAAGAAAACTTCAAGACAGCCAGGCCTGGATTCAAATCCCACTGGTGTCACTTCCCAGCTGTGGGGCTTTGGGCACAGCACCGTGTCTGTTGTAAAAGTAGCCACCGTGCGGGGTTCTTGTGAATTAAGTTAATGAACGTCAAGCGCCTGCAGTCGTGTCTGGCCCACAGGAGACAGTTGGCGAATGGATGTTGGCGCTCTTGCTGCTGTCGCTGTTGGGAGTGGCAGTGATAAGGCGAAGAGGTTCCCAGATGCTGTTCTAGGGTTTTCTGGGGCCTGCAAAGCAAATAGGGAAGCAGCGCCTCCTCCCCTGAGCCTCGGGTTCGTGTCACCGCAGCGATGAGGGAAGACTGAGGAAGTTCGCGCCTGTCCCCGCAAGTGTCTGGCAGGTTGCCACGGGGGCTGTGTAGGTTGCCAGGCTCCCTGGGGTCACGTGAGGGGGCGGCCGTGCCCTCCCAGATAACCCACGTGTCTTGCCTGCTCGTGGCACCCTCAGCCTGCTGGCGGGGGGCTTTTACTGGGCCTGCCTCCCTTTGGAGGGCGTGCCACACAGCTCGGTCCCAAGACCCGGTGACCTGGCTCGTCTCGAGGCAGGGCCAGCAGCCGGTACCGCTCAAGGGCCTTGCCGGCCGGGAGAGGCGGGGTGTCTTGCAGCATCTCCGCTGCTGCCAGGCTGTTTCAGGTGCCCCTATTTGGGGCGATTTGCCCTGGCTGCTAAGCCCCCAGGCCCTGCTCATCTGTCAGAAGTGCAGTACACAAGCTTGGCTTTCATTCCGGGAGCTATCTGAAAGGCAAAGAAAATGCCAGCGCAGCGCACAAGTCACTTGCTGGCTTAACTGTTGCTAGAGCACGACTCCGCTGAAGAAAGTGTAGGTGGAACAGCCTTGTCTATCTGAGTCTTCACTGTTTGGAGCTAGGAGTTTAGAGGGGGACAAGCCGGCTGTTAGCGTCCTAGCTACACGTTCAGTTTCACCAAGCAAAGCAATATGTCAGTACGATTCTAAGAGGAATCAGTTCTTTGTTAGTGGCACTTTGTTAGTGGTGAGAGTTAGTTCAGCTCTCACCAACTGTGTACCGGGTGCTTGCATTCTAAGCTTCGATCACAGACGCTTCCTTCAGGGACTGGACAGTTGCCACTTTAGTGACACAACGTGTATTCACTAAATGTTGGTCTCACGGGCAGAAGCAGGGCCGCCTCTTGGAGATGACGTCAGGCATGTTTGAGTTCTCACAGGTTTTTAGCGACATGTCTTGGAAGTGTTTGCTCACTCAGAAGTTTCCTGTGTTTTGGTAAATTCTTTCTTAAAAATGGCACTTCTCAAAAGAGATTCTCTAAGGGTTCTGCAAATAGTCTTTGATCCTCTTAGATCTTTTCATGTTTTGCTTCTTATAGAAATTGCACTGGGTACCAGATTCAAGTCTCCCGTAGGCTCACGTGTGAAATGTTTCTAAAATGATAAAAGGTCAGGTAAATCTGATGGGCCACTGAGGGTTTTGTCTCACCAGAAGGGCTTACCGACTTGATAAGTGTGAACCTTACTGGTTTTTCTGGATAGTCCTAACATAATTCATAAGTTGCCTTCTAAGAACGTGGCCCTGCGGGGTGTTCGGGCAGACCCAGGCTCTGCGCTTATTCCTGGGGCTCCCCATTTACCTGGGGCCCCTGGGTACTAGACACTGGTGTTCCCGCTTCTTCCTGCCACAGCATGACACCCTCTGTGAAAGTGGAGAAGATTCATCCCAAGGTGGATGGCGCACCGCTGAAATCTGCCGTGGGGCCACCCTGTCCTGCTACTGTGAGTTCCTCAGTCAAGCCTGGCCTTAACTGCCCCTCAATACCAAAGCCAACCTTGCCTTCGCCTGGACAGATCCTGAATGGCAAAGGGCTTCCCGCACCGCCCGCTCTGGAAAAGAAATCGGAAGACAGTTCCAATAATAGGAAATTTTTAAATAAGAGATTGTCAGGTAACTTCACCTTGTCTTTCTTACTAATGTTTCTTTGTACATTCCATGGGCATTCGTAGGGAGCAATCAACTGCTCTCTCTAAGTCTTCTTTGAAAAACTGGTCAACTCCACTTTAGGAGGAAGTTTCTTAGGCAGGATGCTTGTCTTCTTCATCTTGGTTTTGAAGAGCATCAGAGTGTGTGTGTGTGTGTGTGTGTGTGTGTGTGTGTGTAATATAAAAATGGATTTCTAAGGCCAGACACAGTGGCTCACGCCTTTAATCCTAGCACTCTAGGAGGTTGAGGTGGGAGGATCGCTCAAGTTCAGGAGTTCGAGAACAGCCTGAGCAAGAGCAAGACCCCCATCTCTACTAAAAAAATAGAAATTAATTGGCCAACTAAAAATATATACAAAAAAATAGCCAGGCATGGTGGTGCATGCCTGTAGTCCCAGCTACTCGGGAGGCTGAGGCAGGAGGATCGCTTGAGCCCAGGATTTTGAGGTGCTGTGAGCGAGGCTGATGCCACGGCACTCTAGGGTGGGGAAGAGAGTAAGACTCTGTCTCAAAAAAAAAAAAAAAAAAAAAAAAACTTTCTAGTGGAGTGTTTCTGGGAGTAGCGATGAGGTGATGCTGACTTAACAGCACCCTCCCTGCCAGCGGATGGCCGCAGTCGCCCCTGCTCCTTTAGTGCCGCTGCTTCCTGCAGTGCTCGCACGCTATGTGTTTTGTATTTGTTGATAGTTTGGTGGGCTTTATTTAAGCTGTAATTTGTCTAACTATCTTGAAATTGCCCCTCTGTTTTCTTATTTACAAAATACCTAGAGAAGTGGGCACGCTTGTAGCTCCAACTCGGGTGGTGCAAAGGCAGTATGTGTAAGCTAAATGTTTGTAGCCCCCCAATATTCTGAAATTAAAAAGAAAATGCATAGAGGAGTGCTTGGCAAGCCCATTGTAATGTCTGTGTGCTTTTGACAGAGAGAGAGTTTGATCCTGACATCCACTGTGGTGTCATTGATCTGGACACCAAGAAGCCCTGCACCCGGTCTTTGACATGCAAGGTAGGTGGCTTCCTGAAGGTAGAGCTAAAGACCCCGATAAACACGGGGAGCTGGCTTGTACCTCACTGCTCCCAAAGTCTTTCTAACCCGCAGGCGATGCAATGCCATGTGAGCTGTTCTGAATTGTGTAAATGTGGAAATAACTTGGTTCTCAAATTGGCAAAATGCGAAGTATGTTATAATTATAATCTTGACAGAGATTTTGTTTCTAATGAGCAGTGTTATATTCAAGGGAATAGTGTTCTTTCCTACTCCTAACCAGTCTGTTACTTTCAAAGACTTATAATATTTCCACATAGAAATTTAATACAAGAGGCTGCTGTGACTTAAAATTATACCGACTTAAAACCAGTCCAGAGATTTCTTTTGCATATATATATAAATATTTTTTAAATGTATAATCCATGGTTCTTAAATTTTAAATGACCACTTTTTAAAAATCTGTGACTTTGAGATAGCCTTATTTTCTAGTTAAATAAAAATGCTAGATAAAATATAAGTTAAGAAAATGTAATGATCCTCCTTTCTGAAGTCTTCCTTCATTTTCTTTACTGTGCCAATATGCTAATAAGAAGGTGGTGTATTTGCTGTAGAACAAGAGTTATGAAGTGGGGTGGCTTCAGGGCACCCGTGGACCCTCTGCGTAAATGAGCATGTATGTTTCGTGTGCATCGCCCCAGTGGCCTGCAGAAGGTTTCAAGAAGTATTAAGAATCACTGCTTTGAAGTCTGTAATTTAAAAACCTATGTTTGGGGAAGGGGGTAAAATTTACAAAAGTTAGTGTTTATTTCTAAAAATGAAATTGTTGCTGTTTTATTTTAAATTTTACCAAAGACTATATTTGAACAGAAGATTTCAGGCCCCACTCCAACGTCCAACCGGTGGAGGAATTGTTGTAAGCTTCCAAAGTAGGAAATTTTTGTTTTTAATTGGTTCTTGTTTTAAATTTAGACTTCTGATTTATTATAATTTTAGTGTGTAGAATTTGTCTGACAGCAGTGGTTTTGAACCTTTTGAGGAAACAGGTTGGTCAAGAGTGCCTTTAAATATCTCATTTTTTAAAAAAAACATAGACCTTCTTCCCAGAAAAAAGATAGTACATACATATATCTGTTCTGCATTCAGTGTGATACTAGCTGTGGGTCTGTCATATGCGGTTTTTAATTGTGTTGAGGTAAGTTCCGTTATATACCCAGTTTTTTCTGAGAGTTTTTATCATGAAGGGATGTTGAATTTTATCTCATGCTCTTTTAGCATCAGTTGAAATGATCATATGGTTTTTATCCTTTGTTCTGTTGATATGATGTATCACATTGATTGATTTGTGTATGTTGAACCATCCTTATATCCCTGGGATGAATCTCACTCAATTAAAATGCATAGTCTTTTTAATGTGTTGTTGAATTTGGTTTGCTAGTATTTTGTTGAAGATTTTCGCATCTAGGTTCATCAGAGATCCTTGGTCTATATACGTTTTCTGTTGTGTCTTTGTCTGGATTTGGTATCAGGGTGATACAGGCCTCAGAGAATGAGTTTGGAAGTATCCCTTTCTCCTCGATATTTTGGAATAGTTTAAGTAGGATTGATATTAGTGCTTTGAATGCTTGTTAGAATTCAGCAGGGAAACCATTGGGTCCTGGGCTTTTCTTTGATGGGAGACTTTTTATTGCTTCTATCTCATTACTTATTGGTTTATTCAAGTTTTGGATTTCTTTCTGGTTAAGTCTTCGTAGGTTGTATGTGTCTAGGAATTGATCCATTTCTTCTAGGTTCTCCAATTTATGGGCATATAGTTGCTCATAGTAGTCTCTCATGATCTTTTGGATGTCTGCAATATCAGTTGTAATGCCTCCTTTTTCATGTCAAATAATTTATTTGGGTCTTCTCTCTTTTTTTGTTAGTCTAGCTAACAAAATTATACTGACATAAAACCAGTCTATTTTGTGTGTCTATTTTGTTTATCATTTTAAAAAGCCAACTTTTTGTTGCATTGATCTTTTGTATTTTTTGTTTCAATTTCATTTATTTCTGTTGTGATCTTTATTATTTCTTCTACTAATTTTGGGTTTGCTTGCTCTTGTTTTTCTACTTCTGTGAGATGTGTTAGATTGTTTATTTGAAGCTTTTCTACTTTGGGGATGTAGACACTTATTTCTGTAAGCTTTCTTCGTATTACCACGAAAGCAATAATACCCTTATGTTCTGAATTTTGCATTCTATCTTGAGTTAACGGATGCTATCACACCCCGAGCACATCCTCCCGTCCTTGGATCTGTAGCTTGAAAATTCCTATCTCATATTTTTTTCTTTCTCCCCCCACCCCACTTACCAACTTGTGATTTGATCTCATATTTGTGCTTCATAGGATACTAATTGCACACATGCAGTGGTGCGTTCTTGTTGTTGAAGACAGCCATTTGGGCTCTGTAGAATTATGTCACAGTTTCAGTTGCCCCTGAGGGAGCATTTTGTGAAAGCATGCCTGCATGATTCTACTTATGTTAGGTATATAAAATAATCAAATTCATAGGATAAAATTGGAATGGTGGTTGCTAGGGGCTGAAGAAGGAGGCAAATGGAGAATTTACTAATCAGTGAGCCTAGTCTCAGCAAGATCCCCTATTCCACACTGTGATCACAACTTGGTGATGAACCACGTTTTTTTCTTTCTTTTAAGATTTTGTTTTATTGTGATGAGAAAACAATATGAGAACTACCCTCCTAACAAATTTTGAAGTGTGCAGTACAGTACTGTTGACTATTGGTACAGAGTTGTACAGCAAATCTCTAGAACTTACTCATCCTGCTTAACTGAAACTTTATGCTCTTTGATTAGTACCTCCCCAGTTCCCTCTTCCTTCAGCTCCCAGCAACCTCCATTCCACTATTTTATTCTAAGAATTTGATTGTTTTATGTACCTTCCTATAAGAGGAATCATGCAGTATTTGTCTTTTTGTGACTGGCTTATTTATCTTAGCTTAATATCCCCGAGGTTCATCCTTATAGCATATGTGGAATTTCCTTCTTTTTAACTCTGAATAATATTTCATTATATGTATATACCACATTTTCTTTGTCCGTTCATCTGTCGACAGACATTTAGATTGTTTCCACATCTTGGCTATTGTGAATAGAACTTCAGTGAACACAGGAGTGCTAATATCTCTTTGCAATTCTGACTTCAGTTCCTTTGGATAAATGCCAGGAAGTGAGAGTGCTAAACGTGTTTCCAACCCAGGATCCGCAAGGAGTATGACCAGCATTCCTCCCGTGCCTTTACTGCTAGGTGAACTTTGTGTTGATCTGCATCTTTCTCCCATTTTCCTTTCCAAATGGCACGTGCTCTGCGTGTACTCCCCCACGGGTGTCATTGCTGTCTGTGGCATGGCGCTAAGCCCGTCACTGCATTAATGTGTCTTCAGCCCTCATTTGTCAGCACAAAACTGGCAGAAAATGCAGCGTCCATCTGGCCTGCCCTTTCATGGGATGCCTTGACTTTCTTCCCTTCCTCTATTTGTCAGTTCTTCTCCCTTTCCTTGGCTTCACCTGGGCCCGAATCTGTTAAGCTGGTGTAGGGCGACTGGCTTATTTCTCTTAACATAATACCCTGAACATCCCTGAGTGCTCCTTCCCTGAGTGTTCCCCAGGTTGCTGCCAGGTCTCTCCTGTCTTAGACTTAGAACATTGTCTTTTCTCTTCACCGTCAGGGCACTTGTTCGCTCCCATTTTTTATTCCCTGTTGTCTACCTGCCACCCTCACTGCCCGCTCTTCACTTCCTCCTCTGTCCAGTATCCTGTCGGATGTCCTCCGTGCTTTCCGTACGCAGAGAGTCGTGGCTCCAGCAGCCTCTGTCTGTGCAGTCACTGTGGAACTTCGCGTTGCATGCGTCTGTGAGCGCAGGCCTCGTTTCAGGTCCCGAGAATAAAGGGTTTAGCAAAATCAGGGCGTGTTTTCTGCACTAGTAGAGCTTATAGTACAATGGAAGAGATGGAGATTAACCTAACAATCACTGAGATAAGAGTAAAGTTACCACCGCTGAGTTACCAAAAGGAGAGAGGGGTAAGAAATAAAAGCTTGCGGTAGGAGATTTAGCCAGGGAAGGCTTTCTTGCCATGGGAGCGTGAGGCTGAAATCGGTGCGATGATTTATCTGGGCAGGAGAGGGTGGGAGAGGCAGGCGACGGAGAGGAAGCATGTGTGAAGACTCTGTGGCGCCCTCAGAGCCGACTCCTTAGATCCTGGAAGGCAGCCAGGTGGCCGACAGAGTTGGGGGAGGAGGTACCAAAGGAGCAGTGAGCAAGGGTCTCAGCGTGCGCAGCGCCCGAAGCCTAGTTACACACTCAGCCTTTCTACCGTGAGCCTTGGGCAGCCCCTGAAGGGTCCTCACTGGGGGCGTGGGGGGGGGTGATCATCAGATTTCTGTATGGAATGTTCTTCAGAGCTCAGTGGAAGTCCTGTTTACTCTTTAGACGGAGCTGGGAAAATATTGTCTCTGCCTGCTTTCTTCAGTTGGCTTTACTGTGCTAAGCAGCAGGTTCATTCAAGAGGAGAAAGGTTTGTACGTCTGTCTCAAGACACAGACAGGTAGACCAGTGACATTTAGACAGCCATTTATTCTTTAAACACATATTGGAGGGCCATTATTTTTATATGCTTTTTGTTTAAAGTATTTTTGGAGTGGCAAGGCTGTTACAGCATGAATAAAACAAAAGTCCTGTCCTCATTTAGGTTACTTTTTTGTGAATATATAACATATTAGAGAAAAGGAAGCAAAAAAATTGAAAAGAAGCTGAACACATTCATCCGTGCCAGGTTAGATTTTGGGGGGACAGAGCTTGCAGTATGTCTAGTAAGGAAATAGGTTATGTTATTGAATTTCAGATGGAAGTTGGAAGCATAATTCCACTTTCAAGTCCCTTAAATTGTAGCAAACATGCCATATAATCTGTAGAGCAACACATGTGTGTTATGTGTAGGGGCACGAACACGCATGAAGTATCATTAACAGTAATTTGTAATATAAAAGAGGAAAGGATATATGTAGATGAACTCAATTATGTTTATGGAGATGTGATCAGGCTTCGCTGTAGTTAATGTAAACTCACCCATTCCTGAGGATTAGTGTCTCCCTGGGATTTTTACAGACTGAGACCTCAGCAGTATGGAGGGGTCAGATGAACTTGACCTGCACAGTCATTTCACAGTGGCTGGACTTGACTGCCAGTATCCAGTATCTTCTGCTAGGAATAGTATTTGGTTTCAAATGAACCTCGGTTTCTTTTTTTTTTTTATGCCAGTGATTATCAAATGCATTTGGAGTGCACACATTTTGATGTGCTTCAATCTTTATCTTCTTAAGGCAAGCCCTAATTTAACTTTTTTCCCCTCAATGTGCCTATTTCTTATTTCTGAAATTAGACATTTTATCCTTGATTTCCAAAGCCAGTGTGTTTGCAGGATTCACTCTGCTTTGTGTCTCTTCCTGTTCATAGCTCTTCTTCTCTGAGCTTTATCTTCTTTACTTCTCTCAAATTTTCCTTGGCCGTAGCAGTGTCTGTCTGCAGAATGCTTTGCGCCACTTTCTCTGTTTACGTGGCCTTTCCATCAGGATAGAGAGAAGCAATTATGTTTAGTTTTTACTCTCCGCCAGTTACCAAAATAACACTTTGTGATGCATTTTTGATAGAATAATGGTTTCTTCCCTCTAAGTTAACATTCAACATTTTAAGTGGTCTAAAGAGGGATTTGTCTACTGGAATTGATAAGATTCCTGACAAACAAATTGCTATTGTAGCACAAAACATGAGCACCTGTCACCTGTTACTACTACTGTCGGCCACTCATGTACCACTTGGCACAGCCAACGTTCTTCTCTCTGATGGAAATGACATCCCTAGATTGTTCTACATTTAGGGTCTAGAAACATAACGCTTCTAGTCTAGGTAGGGAGAAAAGAATGCGCTATTAAGATTTCTAGCTTACCAAACGCTCATCGGTCTTTGCCGATGCTAATGGTCCCGATACTTTTTATTGGGAGTGTTGTTTTGGGACGTATGGCAGACAGAAATCACTCTTGAGGTCCTTCAGGTTCCGCATTTTCTTGGTCCACAGACACATTCCTTAACCCAGCGGAGGGCTGTCCAGGGTAGAAGAAAGCGATTCGATGTGTTATTAGCCGAGCACAAAAACAAAACCAGGGAAAAGGAATTGATTCGCCATCTGGACTCTCAGCAACTACCGCAGCCTCTCAGGGACCCGCATCCTGCCCCTCCCAGACCGTCACAGGAGCCGCACCCCAACCCTCACGGAGTGACTCCTGCCGAATCAAAGCCTTTCATAGCTAGTAAACCTAAACCTCACACCCCCAGTCTTCCAAGGTAAGCCGGACCCTCCACCTCTCTCCCCCTCCTGCAGAGAACAGAATTGCAGGCGCTGTAAAAACGCTAGTATTGGTCACGACGTCAAAAAACATGCATCAGGCTCACTGTGAAGATATTTTTTTTAACGGGGATTTACTATGAGAAGAGAAGGGTTGCGTTCATCAGTCAGTTCCAGCCAGGGCTCTTTTTGGTTGCAAATGCAAGCAGCAAAATAAAGCCGGAATTACCTTCTCGATACTCGATCAATGTCGGGTAGCTCTCAACCCCGCAGAGCAGGGCAGAAATTGGGTCCTTCCTGCAGGTTACTGACCGGAACGTTTCACGTGGCTTCGACAGCAGTTTCCTTGTCATTTGCCTTTCTTCTCCCAAAACACAGCAGTGTGAATTCTTGCCGAGGGCAGGCATTCAACCTGAGTTTTTACTGCATCCATTTCTCAACATGTTTTTTCATTCATTCATTCGGGGCTCTGGCCTGAGCACGGATTAGCATTTTAGCAACATTGGAAACGGTGGATCGGAGTGTTTTAACGAGAACTTACTCACACGCCTCAGAGACAGTGACGGTGGAATATGCGTGTGTTTGTGCTTGTGTTATGTAACCCAGTTGAAGTAAAGGATTTGTGCCCAATTTCCAGAGGGAAGGGAAAGAGGAAAGCATAGAGGACGAGGGGCTTCAGTGTGGGGCATCTAACTGTTGGCAGCAAGGGCTTCTGCTTAGGGACATGCCAGCCTTGCTGTTCCACCTGCCCGTGTCTGATCCTTGAAGTGATTGTTAAGAAGGTGGAAACCAAAATGTGTGCTTGAGCCTGTCCCAATGTGAGCCCTGTAGTTTCTACACAACACACTGGAGCTGCCGTCAGAGGCCCTGGCCAGACAGTCCTTTCTTTGGCCACCTTCTCATTGAAATTTTTGCATCTATAAAAAAGTAAGCTTGGCCAGGCGCGGTGGCTCACACCTGTAATCCTAGCACTTTGGGAGGCTGAGGAGGGAGGATCGCTCGAGGTCAGGAATTCGAGACCAGCCTGAGCAAGAGAGAGACCCGTCTCTACTATAAATAGAAAGAAATTAGCTGGACAACTAAGAATAGAAAAAATTAGCCGGGCGCGGTGGCACATGCCTGTAGTCCCAGCTACTCGGGAGGCTGTGGCAGGAGGATCGCTTGAGCCCAGGAGTTGGAGGTTGCTGTGAGCGAGGCTGACGCCACGGCACTCACTCTAGCCTGGGTAACAGAGTGAGACTCTGTTTCAAAAAAAAAAAAAAGGTGTAAGATTAATTTCAGAAGTACTACGCCATTATAGCTGCAGGAAAAATACATTACTCTCTTGACTAAAGGGCTCTAGATGGTCCACATAAAGTGGTAATGCCATCTTACACTTTTATCACCTGGGATCCCTCCCGGGTTATCTTAGAGTACTTCGCCAGCTGCAACTGGCCCTTCGTATCCATGGGTTCCACATCCATGGATTCAGCCAACTGTGTGTCAGAAGTATTTGGGGAAAAAAATTGATTCTGTATTGAACACGCACAGATGTTTTTTGGATATTATTCACTGAACAATATAGTATAACAATTACTTGCATAGCATTTACATTGTATCAGGTATTATAAGTAATACAGAGGTGATTTTAAGTAAGTGGGAGGATCTGTAGGTTAGAGGCAAATCCTAAGCCATTTATATCAGGGACTTGAGCATTCTCCGATTTTGGTATCCTCGGGAGGTCGTAGCCCCAGTCCCCCGTGGATACCAAGGAACAACTGTATTTCATTTATCGCCGTAGTAACCCAAATCCAGTTGAAATTTGAAGAGGAATGCAGGAAAAAATTCTGTGAAATCCCACATACATTTCCCCTTTTTATGGAGAACAGGAGGGGACGTGAGCCACCCAAGTGGCTGCAGGAAGGAGCACCAGTTGTCATAAGGATGACGTTTGGCAGACAGCTTCTCTTGGCACCATGCAGTTCAGGGAGAGCTTCCTTCCTTCCCTCCTTCCTTCCCTCCTTCCTTCCGGGTCGGCGCGTGGCCGAGCACGGGTGGGGGGGTCCCATAGGCGGCCCTGGGTGCGTGGTCGCGTCTGAGCACTGGCAGGGGGGCCCTGGTGCCCTGGGTGCCTGGTCGCGTCTGAGTGGAGGCGGCGGACCCCAGGCGAGCGACCTGACCCGGCCGCCCTCTCCGCCCGCCCAGGCCGCCAGGCTGCCCTGCGCCGCAGGGGGGGAGCGCCCCCGTCGACCCCCCTCCGGTCCACGAGTCTCCGCACCCGCCCCTGCCTGCCACTGAGCCAGCTTCTCGGTTATCCAGCGAGGAGGGCGAAGGCGATGACAAGGAAGAGTCTGTTGAAAAACTGGACTGTCACTATTCAGGTCATCATCCTCAGCCAGCATCTGTAAGTCCCACCCCCGCCGCGTTGGCCCTCCCCGAGGCGTGGACGGGGCCCCGGGGGCGCCAGGGAGCGTGTGGCCCAGCACCGGGCGCCCCAGGGGCAGCACGCGCTCTCCCTTCCTCATCTGACACTGTCACTCATCCTCCCGGCCGCCCACAGGAGAGGGGACCCTGGCGGGCGGCCTCGTGGCGGGGGCCTCGTGGCGGGGGCAGGCGCCAGCGCTGTGTTCTCTGTCTCGCAGTTTTGCACATTCGGGAGCCGGCAGATCGGAAGAGGCTACTACGTGTTTGACTCCAGGTGGAACCGGCTTCGCTGCGCCCTCAACCTCATGGTGGAGAAGCATCTGAACGCGCAGCTGTGGAAGTGAGTGCCCGCCGGCGGGGGCGGGGGGGCCTCGCTCAGTCTGCGTCCCCTCCTCATTTCCCGTGGGGCTGATGTGACGAAGACAGGCGTACCGAGTGAAGGCGTGGCCTTCGACTGGCCCTCAGAGGAAGGGGCCTTGTCGTTAATTTACTCATTCAGCAGCTACAGATTGTTCTGGGCGCCGGCGTTCAGGGCAGAACTTGTGCATACACGGAGCTCGCAGTCTAGCTGGGAATGGGGCGGGTGGCGACAAAAACTAGTCTGGGGAAAAATAAGCAAGGCAGCCCCAGCTCGTCATACGGAAGATAATGGAACAAGCAACGACAGTCACTGAGACTTACTAAAAGCTTACTCTGTGCCAGTCAACTTACTAAATGTATTTAATTTTCACAGTTCCATCAGGTGGCCACCATTATCCCTCCCTCCACCTCTTTTTAAACAGATAACAGAACTCTGAGGTACAGGGTCATGTGAGAAGTTAGTGGTGGGGCCAGGATTTGAACCTACAGGGAGTTTGTTTCCAAGTGAGGAGCCACGATGGGAAAATAACAGGCCAGAGGGGTTCGGAGAAAGCCTTGAGCTGAGCTGGATGGAGGAGAAAGAGCAGCCATTGGGGTGGTATTGGGGGGGGGGAGTTCCAGGCAAAGGGAACCAGCTGCGAGAAGGTCTGGAGTCAGAAGACAGCTTGTTTGATAAACAAGAAAGCAAGCATGGCACACGACGAGGCCCGAGAGACCAGCAGGGCCGGGTGGCATTGAAATTAATTCTGAGTGCGTCGTGAGGCTGGTCAAGATTTTAGGTAGAGGAGCCATGTGTTCTGATTTGCAATTTAAGATATCTTGTATGGTGTTGTGTATGCTAGTGTTTCCCAAATACTATTTTTAGCGAAAGGAGATTTCCATAGCCAAAAAGGCTTAAATTGTCTACATTACTGCAGGACTTCTCAGAGCCTTTAGTGGGCACTGTGCTTTGCAGTTCTCAAAGCAAGGGATGTCATATGTAATGTGGCATGTCTCCCATGCTCTTTTGACCGAGGAACTTTTTTTAGGGGAGCATCTTGGGGAACTAGTGTTTGGTGGGACCTACTTTGGTGAGCCTTGAGCTTTGCTAAAGGGGCTGTCCAGTAATTCTCTACTGGGGCATCATTTACTAGTGCCTCCTTGAATGGACTCTGCTAGTACATCCATCTGCCTGCCTGCCTTGATTTCCTAATAAAGTCGGAAGAAACTGTTCGGAGGCCTTGGATAGTCTGCAACCCAGAGAACCATCTCCTTGGTCATTGTTAGGACTTACATTTATTCACTTAGAAAACCAGATCCAGAACAGTGTTACTCTGCTTTTCTCTTTCATATCTCTTCCTGGTTCTTACTAACAAGGGACAATAACATTGTCTCTGCCAAGAAACAGAATCAGGAGAGTGGCTTATGGGGCTCTGGGGGGCGGGGTCTCTGCAGATCAGAACGCCCTAAGACACACGAAATCCCACCTGCTTATTTCTTCACACTAAGTGGGACTAGGAGAGCTCATTGAGCTCACTAAACTTAACGGGGATAGTGTGTACTCCTAAGAGTGCAGAAGGGTCTTCCGAGTGCTTTTTTCTCGTTATATTGATGAGCGGCTCGTGACCGGCAGTTCGGGGGAGATGGTTTGGGTTCCCAGCAGCTTATCCACGGAGAGATTTCCCTCTTCGTGCTGTGCACTTGTGAGAAAGTAGGATCATGAGGTTAACTCTGCTGTGGACCTTCTCTCTGTGCTTTTTTTTTTTTTTTGAGACAGAGTCTCACTGTGTTGCGCAGGCTAGAGTGAGTGCCATGGCGTCAGCCTCGCTCACAGCAACCTCCAACTCCTGGGCTCAAGCGATCCTCCTGCCTCAGCCTCCTGAGTGGCTGGGACTACAGGCATGTGCCACCACGCCCAGCTAATTTTACCTGTATATATTAATTGGCCAATTAATTTCTTTCTATGTATAGTAGAGATGGGCGGGGGTCTCTCTCTTGCTCAGGCTGGTTTTGAACTCCTGACCTCGAGCAATCCGCCCACCTCAGCCTCCCAGAGTGCTGTCTGTGCTCTTACGAAGCTGACTCCCCCATCACTTGCTCCCAGGGAGAAGGAAACCATCCCTTTTCATGAATGTGACCTTCGGTTTTAAAAAAGTCAATACTGGGCCGGGCGCGGTGGCTCACGCCTGTTATCCTAGCACTCTGGGAGGCCGAGGCAGGAGGATCGCTCAAAGTCAGGAGTTCGAGATCAGCCTGAGCAAGAGTGAGACCCCGTCTCAACTAAAAATAGAAAGAAATTAATTGGCCAACTAAAAATATATATAGAAAAAATTAGCCGGGCATGGTGGCGCATGCCTGTAGTCCCAGCTACTCGGAAGGCTGAGGCAGGAGGATCGCTTGAGCCCAGGAGTTTGAGGTTGCTGTGAGCGAGGCTGACTCCAGGGCACTCACTCTAGCCCGGGCGACAGAGTGAGACTCTGTATCAGAAAAAAAAAAAAAAAAAAAAAAAAAGTCACCGCTGCAGCAACAGACGTGTTGGCTCAGTGGAGAGCCGGCGCGTAGGCGTGGGGCAGACAGGAACCTGGGGCGCGGTGCCTGTACAGTGCTCCCCAACGCAGGAGTGCCGTCGGCCCAGTCGGGCAGCCCCCGGGATGGGCTGTGCGGAGGTCGGCGCTGCTCCCCCAGAGGAGAGCTGTTCTCAGGCGGCATCTTGGAGGCCCTCAGGGAGGCCTCCACAGTGGCCCAGGTCCCGCCTGTCTTACTGCTCGGCCAAAAATCTCCCCTTCCAGGAAGAGCTGAGTGCCGCTCTCCCCGGCCCCTTACTTACCCTTTGATTGCTCATTGGCAGTAAAAATTTGAGGGTGAGTGCAGGTGGGATTTGGGTGCGAAGTAAGTCGTCTGCAGTTTGTGGGGTCTCTGGACAGCGGCGGGACTCGAATCGGCACTCCCCTGGAGCGTGGCCGCCACCCCAAGGGCCCTTCCCGAGCTCCCGTGACTTCCGCGAGTGACCTGCCCTCTGTTGACTGAGGACCACTGTTCCGCCTCCCCTAGGAAGGGGCCAGGATAGTTTTCAACGGTTTTTTGTTTGTTTGTTTGTTTAGCTTTTTGAATCGGGAGTGTGTTCACTTGGCTTAAGAAAGAAAAATGGGCATAAAAAGGCACACAGCAAAGAGTGTTAGTCACCCTGCCCCCTACACTCCTGTTTCCTAAGCTGTCCCCCAGCCGGAGCCATTTTTATTATTGATAGTTTCTTGTGTGTCTTTACAGAGTCGATTTGTGCAAACACAAGTCAGTATGCGTGCATATTCCTACTTCGCCTCTTCTTTATACAGAAGGTAGCGGATTACGTAAAAGAGCCTTTTCGCAAGAAGCTAGTCGTGGTCACGCAGGGACCGCCATCCTCCCTCCTTGGGAGCCTTTCTTTCCCCAGAGGTTGGCTCCAGGCAGCCTGGTCTTTGGACCTGACTTCCTGAGCCACCTGGTGGCCGCAAGAAGCCACTGACCCAGCTCGCGGTGACCCGCGGACTTCCTTTAGAGCAGGGCTTCCTGTCCCAGCCCGCCAGTCACCTGGGGGCCTTGTTGCCACCGAGACCCTGATGAAGCTGGCGGGGGCGGGGCCTGGGAACCCAGCGTTTCGGGCAGACCTCTTGTGATGCCCACGCTCGCCCTGCTCTGGGGCCGGGCGGGGGCACATAGAGCCGCCTTCCCAGTCTCGGCCTCACGTTGGAACCTCCCAGAGAGATTTAGAAATGACTCATCTCTGCCCCCCACCCCCACCCCCAGGGACTCTAGTGCGGTCAGCGTGGGTGTGGCAGGAGCCTCGCAGGTGACAGGGACATGCAGGTGACCGGGACATGCAGGTGACCGGGACACGCAGCAGCCCTAGCAAGAGCACCAGCTTCAGGCCGCGCGCGGTTGCACTGGAATGGGGTTTGTCAAGCAGGTGCAAATGCTTGTCATTCACTCCTTTTGTTACTAGCTGTAGTTCTTACTTGAAAGTTTCTGGAAAGCGCTTGGGATAAGGAACCGGGCCACCCCGCGTCAGGGTCAAGGCCATCTTGGCACTTGCCTTCCAGGCAGGCCACTTCCTATTTTTTCTACCTCGGTGTGAGTTCTGCCAGCGGAATGTTTGAAATTTTGGTGCTGTCCCATTTCGAGATCGGAGCTAAAATAAAAGGGGGGGCCTCCCTCAGCCCCTGATAAATACTTTGCCCAGATGTTATTAGCCGAATGCATCGTTACAACACTGTGACAGAAAATTCCCTGAGATTTTTGAGGCTTTATTCCCTTGTGCCGTCATTTAGGCCAGTAGTAGGACCCCGTTCATTAGCTGCGCCCTTCCTCTCTTCCCATGCCTGCCTGAATTCTCTCCACGTTTGTTGAGTGCTTTCTGCATTTTCCCACTGTGCTGGGCATCAGGGCTGTAGTGGTAAAATAAGATGTGGATTGCTCTGACTGCATAGGCGTTTGTGATTAGCAGTCACGCGTTGAAGCCACCCGAAGTCTTACAAAGGCTAGAAACAGGGCCAGGGTGAGTCCTTGGGCAACTAAGCAAGTCAGGACGGTCGGGACGGGTTTCCTAAGGAAGGGATGGCGAGCAGAAGCTTGAAGGCTGAGCGCGAGTTGGGGTCTTGAGTCGTGGCATCTTGCCGGGAGATGGGCGGCAGGAATCGGGCGGGGGTGGGAGGTGGAGCCAGGAGCTGGGGCAGGAGCAGAGGAGAGGCGCACACGCGCCGTCGCCCTGCCAGCCCTGGGAGGCGTTACAGAATCGAAAGGAGAGAAGCGACAGGGTTGGCTTTGTGTTTCGGAGTGATCACTGTGACAGGGGGCGTTCTCAGTGTCAGAGGCGTGGGGTGCCCCTCTGAACGTCCCCACGGATGGCCTCGGTGGCCGTCACTCACTGTCTTCTCCTGTTCCAGGAAAATCCCACCCATGCCCAGCACCGCGCCACCTGTCTCCACGCGCGCTCCCCACCGGGCGAACGCGGCGCCCCCGTCGCAGTGCGGGCTCAGCTGTCTCGCCGCAGCCACCGCCTCTGCGTCCCCCGTCCTGCTGTCCCCCACCTGCGTCTCCCCGAACGGCAAATCGGTACCCGCTCACGGAACCACGCTGAACGCACAGCCCGCCGCCTCGGGGGCCATGGACCCCGTGTGCGGCATGCAGTCCCGACAAGTGTCCTCTTCGTCCGCGTCCCCTTCCACGGCCTCCGGCCTCTCCTCGGTCCCCTCCTCCCCGATGTCCAGGAAACCTCAGAAGTTGAAATCCAGCAAGGCTTTAAGGCCCAAGGAGTCTTCTGGTAGCAGCACTAACTGTCACAACGCCAGTAGCAGCGCCAGTGGCGGCTCAGGAAAGAAACGCAAAAGCAGTTCCCCGCTGTCGGTTCACTCCTCCTCCTCCTCCTGCTCTTCTTCTCATTCCATGGAGTCTTTTAGGAAAAACTGTGTGGCTCACTCCGGGCCCCCCTACCCCTCCACGGTGACTTCCCCCCATGGCGTGGGCCTCAACTGTGTGGCACACAGAGCGAACGCGGCGGGCCTCCGGCACGACCAGCCGGGGCGGGGCCCCCTGGGCGGGAGCCCGGCCGAGCCCATCAAGAGGGTGAGCGTGATGGTGAACAGCAGCGACTCCACCCTGTCCCTCGGCCCCTTCGTGCACCAGTCCGACGACGGCTTTCCGCACCCGCACGCCCCTCTGGACAAGCTCCTGGGGAAGAAAAGGAAGTGCTCGCCCAGCTCCGGCGGCCTCAGCGGCGGCGGCAAGCCCACGAAGGTCGCCAGAGTGCCAGCCATGAACCACGTCCACATGAAACACACGGCCACCATCCCAGGGGCACAAGGACTGGCGAACAGCTCCCTCCTCCATCAGGTAGGAAGGGGCCCCATGTGGGTCCCTCCCTCGGGACCCTCCGCCCGCCGCCGGCGGGAGTCTGCGCGGTTGGGTTGGTGGGTTTGCCTGTAAACACATACCAGCTCCTTGGGGCTTCTCTGAAAAGGAGGGTTCGCGGCCCGTGAAGGTAAGACAGGCTCCTCTCCGCCCGAATTTCTGACGTCTTGGAAGGTGCCCTAGGTAAGGGCGCGTGGGGACGTGCGGCGCAGGCAGTGCCGCAGGACGCACCGGCGCGAGGCAGACTCAGGCTCGGAAGGGAATTCCTCTCCCCGTAGCCAGCAGGGCGTTGTCCCCGCGTTGCCCGTTGTGTGTCCCACGGTGCCGATGAGGAAGGAAGCAGATTCTGTTTCCTGGGCGGTGGTTCTGCAGCTCATTCCTCTGAAAAACAGCTGGGCTGAAATCGAACGGATCTAGAATGGAGGGCTGTAAGATTTAAAAAGAAAGAGCTTTTAATATTTTTCCCCTCAATTCCAGGTATTCTGGTTAAATCTCACCCTGTATTTTCCCCTCCCTGTTTTCAAGTGAGGCAGGAAAACAGGATTCAGCATGGGCGTAGCAGGAGACAAAAACCACGTTCTGAGCTGATAGTTTAAAGGGAGTCTGCGTGTGAGCCCACTGGTAGAGAGATGGCTAAGCGTGTTGCATCCATAATTAACCACGACTTTCTCTCTTTCGCTCTTGGTCTCTTTGTCTTTTTTCCTCTGTTTTTCACCTGTTTTCTGTTTTCTCCTGACCTCACCTATAGCTGTTTCTTCCAGCTTCCTTCTGCCCCAACTTCCAGCTCATCTCTCCTCTTGTTATTTCATTTATCAGGGTATCTCCTCACCTTGCTTACGAACAGGAATTTCAGCAGCATCACCCCGAGCCCTGATTTAAAATGTGAGGCTCTTTTTTGGTCCCCCCCCCTTCCTCATCTTCAGAACTTAATTCAAATAAATGCCAGCTTTTGGACTTTTTCAGAAAAACCTCTTAAGTTATTAAGTACGAAATGTCCGATTTCCTTAAGTACTAGTTTGACAGTTGGTATCTCTGACAGTTCTCTTTGAAACTGCTTTTATTTTTATTGTGAAGGTACACCCTCAGTCTTTCAAATGCGTGTTTTGGCTTGTGGGTATCTTTCAAATATTTTTTAGAGCAGTTTTTGTGAAACCATTGGATAAGTGAAAGATCCGTGTTATTTTTGAATGTGAGTTCCATCGTGAAGCCAGCGCAGGGCAGACAGCTCGAAATCTACACAGAGCGTTTGGGAAGGATGTGGCTCATGAACGCACAGTATGTCGATGGTTTGAAAACTTCCATTCTGGCGATTTTAATCTTGAAAAAGAGCCACATGGGCCACCTGAGACTAAGGTGTGGACAGTGATAAGCTAAAAGCTGTAGTGGAAGCGAATCCATCTCAACCTGCGCGTGAATTAGCAACGAGGTTTGATGTCACTATTCCAACAACATTGGGCCATTGGAAACAAATCCACAAGGTAAAGAAGCTGGCTGGCTGGATGGGGTTCTGCGTGAATTAAACAAGCATCAGCAGAGAAACCTGCCCGAAGCTTGCCTTTCTTTGCTGTCACCACATAAAGAGCACAAACAAGCTATAGTTAAGATGACAAAACTGTATCGATAGTTAGGTGCATACTTTGATTGCATACTGCTTGTTTGAGATATATAAACTACTTTTTATAGAAATTGGACATTTCCTATTTAATGACCTAATACCAATAAGTTTCCTACTGTGAAATGATTTGCCTCCAATATTTGTGTGAATTAACACACAATGCTGAAGGTGTATGGGGGGGGATATCCATGAATTTAAGTAGCTACTTAAATTATGGGCTATTTGTATGTTGTTTGGCTTTTTGACCAGGGGACTCCTAGACTAATGGGAATTGTGTATTTCCTTCTTGGTTTGTATATTTACTCATTATAGCCTATGATAAGTATAGCAGTGCAGTACAAACACAGCAAGAGGTTGTATGCCCAGTTCTTGTTTTTTTTTTTTTCTTTTGAGACAGAGTCTCACTCTGTGGCCCAGGCTAGAGTGAGTGCCATGGCGTCAGCCTCACTCACAGCAACCTCAAACTCCTGGGCTCAAGCGATCCTCCTGTCTCAGCCTCCCGAGTAGCTGGGACTACAGGCATGTGCCACCATGCCCGGCTAATTTTTTCTATATATATATTAGTTGGCCAATTAATTTCTTTCTATTTATAGTAGAGATGGGGTCTCACTCTTGCTCAGGCTGGTTTCGAACTCCTGACCTTGAGCAATCTGCCCGCCTCGGCCTCCCAGAGTGCTGGGATTACAGGTGTGAGCCACCACGCCCGGCCTATACCCAGTTCTTAAAAATGCCTTCTAAGAAAATGCCTTCTAATGTCCTGATGAGACGGGACCCCCCCCCCCAGGGGTTTTCAGAAACCACTGTGCTCTAATGTCCGTGTCACATCCGTACGATTGAGCACCCTGTGTCTTCATGGAAACCTTGTTGCCCACAAGTAACAAGGGACAGGAGGAGGCTGGGTGGGGTGTAGCGGAGAGTGACGGTGCCCGCGGGGTGGGCAACCCCTTGTGCACACAGCATCCGCCTCCAGACACTTGTTAGCAGGTTTAAAGAGAAACGCAGATCTGAACTTGCATGTGAAATTTGCCCATTTAAAAAAAAGCTATATATATAATTTTGTTTCTATCTTTTTTTCATGAAGTCTGGTATAGCCGCATATATCTATCTGTCGGCCAAATTAGACTCATGACCTGCCAGTTGGCCACTTCTAATTTTTACTGTCAGGGGCCGATGTCTCACTAGCAGGACTCAAACAGCCTAACTTTGGGTTTTTACCTTAAAATCAGTTTTGACATAAGTTTGTGTTTAAGAAACATTTTCTTTGTCTGATGGGATACTTTTTATTGCGGTCCACACAAATCCTTGCAGGGGTCAGGGGGGGCCCATGCTAGAGCTCAGAAGATCCGTGAGCCCCAAGAAATGTCACACGTTTTTATGTCCGTGTTCATTTATCGACAGGAGGGACCGTATAGCTTTCATCACACTCTCAAAGGCACCCATGACCCCAAAATACTCTTAAGAATCTGCTTTTAGAAAAATGGGGGGCTCAACTTGCCGTTCCTTGTGGAGCCGACTTTAAAACAGAGATAACGGAGCTGGTTGAATTCTTCTTAGCGAGGAAATGAAGCGGGCCGTGCTGGGAAGCCTAGGAGTTAGGGTCGCGTAGGCACCCCAGCCCCTACTTCCAAGAGTCTTTTGTGGCTTCTACCACCAAGGAAATAAAAATAGCCCACTGTGAAGGCCGTAGTTCCCTGTCCCCAGCGTGGGCGCTGCCTCGAGTGTGCGCTGCCACCGCTCTGTGTGCCGGCCCCGCCGAGCCTGCTCACTTCTCCGTGAGTTTTGTCCTCGAACACCTTCAAGGACAAAGTCAGCAAATGAAACCAAAGGCAAACAGGGCCTTTCCCCTAAGCTGGAGATTCGGGCCTGCCAGTTTTCTAGAGTGATTGTGCCCAACGGCAGTGACGCCTTCTAAAAGCTAAGGCCGAATTCTGTGGCCGACGTTCCTGGCGTCGCCCCGTCAGTGGAGACTTTGGTGGCCCGTGGCCTTTGGAACATTCTTATTTAGAATCGGGGGAGTACCGCGTACGACTGCTTACTTACCTCTCCATTGTTTCCCCACCCTGTCTTTTATTTTTTTTTTTCCGAAAGCCAAAGGCACGTCCCTGACAGCTGAAAACAGCACGGGGAGGAATAATCCGGACACTTTTGAGGACAAGCTACACCTCCTACTCAGCACTCTGGACTCCGCGATGCCTTTGAGTCTGTTTCCCCAACCTCCTGTGGGCCTCGAGGGCAGACGGCCTGCCGGCTGTTGTTTTCACGAGGATTTTCCTGAAGCTGTGTCTGTAGCAGTGAGTACTCACAAGGACACTGGATCCAGTTCAGCCACCGAATTGCTCGTATCAGTGTTAAAGTGGTCTGGACTGCTTGCTCCCAATCTGTGAGAAGTTCTGTTTTTGTTTTGTTTAAACTTGCAGTATATCACAGAGCCAAGTAGATTGGCTGGGCAAAAAAGAATGTTTTGGCAAGAACGTTACTGTAGACCCTGCTCCCTTATCCCTCTCCCTGCCCTTTTTTTTTTTTTTTTTAAACACTGTCTTCTGTAGGTCACTCTCGGGCAGTTAGGCACCTTAACCGGAGACTGGAGACCTTCCAGAGGAGGGACCTGCACCCTGAGCAACCCTCTGGAGAAGTGAATTTGGCTTCAGGTTTTTATAGAAATGTTTCAGGAATGGAATATTACGGACATTAGCGCAAGGCACCATGACAAAACAGCTCAGCCTTTTGCAAGTAATGTGGGGTGAGAAGATGTCAGAAGTTTCTAACTGATGAACTAGTTTGAAACTATTGATGCCCGGAAAGCAAGTATAAACCATTTTAGAGGCTTACTTTTCATGGTACAAAAGCAATTCTATGTGATGAAAACAAAAAAAAAAGAAGAAGAAGAAAAGAAATAAAGCCAAATTCAGGGGAGGGGAGGGATGGGAAAGGTGAAATCACTCTAGGGAGGGAGAAAAAACTTTTTCCAAAATTTCCAAAGAGATGGAATTTTCTTATCCTTTAAGTTTTCACGGTAAACAGTATGTCAGATTGGGTCGGTGGTCCTACTCAGTCTGTTTTTTAAATATTGCCTTTTTAAAGTGACATTGTTAGGATGTACTTAAATGTTTCCCAGACACTCTCTGCATTAGCCATCTTCCTGAGAGAGCTGTCGAGCCATCCAGGATACTTTTTCTGATACCCCATCCAGAAAGAAAGAGCTGAGTAAGTTAAAACAGCAGCGCTCGAGGAGGTGGCGTTCAATTCTGGGGAGGAGCTGGGGCCTTGTGAGGGGCCATCCCGCCGCCACAGCTCCTGACCTGCGAACCAGGCACTTCTGCTCTGAGAACACAGAAGGTCGCCGAACACAGGGTAAAATTTCCAAGGCTTTGATTATTGCCCTGGCCAGGGCCTGAACAGAGCCAGCCAGTGCATCCTTTTTTTCCTTGCAGTTCTTGGGTTTCAAACTTCATTTTCAGGGAATTTCAATTCAACAGGTAGAATGAAAAAAATACTTGGTTTTACCAGCCTAATAATGTGAATTGCTACAGAATTATTCTTATTAAGTGAGAAAACAAAAACTTTATGCAGATACTTTAGCTATAAATCGATGTAAAATATTGATTTTTCTTTTTTTTAAAGGAAGGGGAGAACAGTGTCCTGTTCAGTTATTATGCAATCAAACCAGTAAATGCGCGGATGGGCCCATTTGGTGTAGTTAGGAGAAATCAGTCAGTTCCATCCCAGTGTGGGGGAGAGGAGGAGGTGAGAAGGAATCAGAACGTACCTAGTGGATTCCTTGGTAACAAGTGCAATGGGGTATGGGTAGAATTTATTTTCAGAGCCCAGGGGACTTGATGGTTATAAATAAAGTTGCTTTTAGCGATGAAATTTATAGACAGATCATGTTGTTCCAAAAGATGTGAATAGGATCCACGATAGCAAGTTGATTCAGAATAGTGTAGATATTTAGATTAGTGAATATTGATCATTTGATTTCTTAGACTGAAGTTTTAATAGAATTTCATTATGCCTCCCGTAATACACAGAGCATCGGGATTAGGAAATTAGCCATTTTGGATTCTGCCTGCCACAAACAGACCTATTCTAAACAGTGCTATTAAATTTTAGACTGTTGTTCAAATATTTTATTTTCTCCTACGAGTACTTTTTATTATGGTGAACAATTAAGACCATTTAAAACACAGGAGTACGAGTATTTTTTTGAATTAAATTAACTTGCAAAAACCAAATTTGCAGTGGTTGGGTTGTTTCTAGACAGACTTTGGTATCAATTTAAAACCAAGATAATTTTTATATTCTTTCCAATAGAATTTCATGACAACTCCTGCAGTTTTCTTAACCTACAGAAAAAAAAAAAAGTGCTGCAATGATGAACAAAGAATTATACAAAACCTACTTTTGTATCTTTATTTTGGAATTTCTTGTTCTATTATAAATATGGAAGTATCCCTATTTGAGAAGACATATTTTGTTAAAAATGAATTGTACATATTTAAATATGTATTTTTGCACAGGTCTTTTTTTCTGATATCCTGTTTTGGTACAATTGAGATCATCTAGTATTTATTTATTAATTAATAAAAGTAAATACCTTTTTTATAATTTGAAGTGGTTCACTGCCAAGCCAATAGTTCTAGAACCTGCCTCCTTTACAGTTTAAGGGATGCCTCTGTTCCGTGAAAGTCTTGTCACTCCCGACGTCGGGAGTGGGCCGCACAGAGGGAGTGGGCATTGCCTGCCTGGTTGCCTGGTTACCCGATAGACTACACGTAATTAAGTGACACACTGCTTTTCTTTCGTTGGTGTTTTGTGTGTGCGTGTCTGTGTGTGCGCGCGTGCGTGTGTGCCTGTGTGTGTATACTGTGAGCACATGTAGTATGCGATGTGGTTTAAAACTAATGGAAAAAAAAAAAACTGAAAGTGCCTGAACCTAGTTTTAAGCTTAGACAGAATCTCTCTAAAAAGACTTGAATGTTCGGTTGAACTTTTGGAGTTTGCTTTTTCCACCTAAATATTATTTCTAAAATTTTAGGGGAGGAGTTGAAAAACCAATGCTGGTAATTTTATAAGGTATTTTAAAAATTCAGACCTTCTGGTTCACAATGATTGAGCTGGTGACGGGCTGCCCAGTGGCACCGAGGGTTACAGATCTTTCTGTCCGCCAGCAACTTACACAACGTGTTCGTTTTGTTATTCACTCGTAAAATACAGAGTTTAAAATAGAATATTTAAAATATTTTGTATTCCAAAAATATAATACAAAGAAGTACCTCTGAGAACATTGAAAAAAATGTATAATTTGAAAAATGTAACTTATAAAGGCAGCTGTCTTCCTGCAAGAGTTCTGTTGCCAAGGAATTTCTTAATGTCTCTCATTCTGTCCTGGGGGGAAGGGGGAGTTGGGCTTTGAAAAATTACTGTTGAAAGTTTCATTGTTTAGCAGAAAATAATCATTTTTACATTTTGTGCAAAGCATTTTACATTTTCGGATCATTTAAATGAGCACTACATACTGTCAGTGTGAATGTAGGGCCTCAAAAACATTTTGCTGTTTTTGTTTTTTTTTTTGTTTGTTTGTTTTTATTTGAGCTTGGTTAAAAAAGCAATCTCCTGTGTTAAAAATGTGTGAATAGTTTGATAATCTGTACACATAATCAAGAGCATCTCAGCTGGACTTTGTGTTGGCTGCTGTATAGAACATGAACAAACGTCAAGGGATAGAAAATTACTTTGGATATTTAAAAGAGAAGAAATATATAGTCTATTTGTTTTGTAACAAGTTTCTGTAAATAAAATAATTTATACTATTTATAAGAAAAAGTTGTGCTTTGCTTTATGAGAAATTAGTTTGTGGAACAAAGATGTTACTAAACGGGCAATAAAATTAGGACTTCTCAATAAATAAGGTTGGCTGCATGAAATATTTTCCATGTTTCCGCCTCATTGTGATACCAAACCCTTCCAGTCTAGTCTGACTTGTTCATTTTTGGCGTCAGACACTCGTGAAGCACCTTCACTCCAGTCTCCCTCCTGTGCAAGCTAAATACTTCTGAGGCCTCAGGATGTTTCCATTCTTGGGCCCAAAGCTTTGCCTTGGATGAATTAGTAACTGTGTAAACAGCGAACACTACTGTATCCTGGCCCTGTATGTGTGTGAAGGAAACAAGGGGAGTTCATGGATTGAGAAGCACATTCTATTTGTACTTGCTTATGTGCAAGTCTGATGACATGTTTTGTTTAGAGAGAAGTGTTTGATCCAGAGCTGGTCTAATCTCTTCCTTGCTTTTTACATTCCTCCCATACTGGCAATACAAGCGCATTTTAGTATTATTCAGAGCACAGCATAATCTTTTTATCTCTAGAAATCTGGCCAGTATTGCCATTTGTAAATAAATAATTCTAATAAATTAAATTTTTTTTTTTTTGGTATTTTAAATATACAGTAGGAACATTTATTTTAACACTTCTAAAAGATATTTCTCCATGCCTGATGATTTGATATAAAAATCAAACCCATCATACATTCCCCTAATAAATTAAATTTTATTATTATTTTGCTTAAAATAAGAGGAGAAACTGCTCTGTGTATTGGAAAAAGTGGCCATACCTTACATGAGTCAGGCTGGCTTCAACCTCACTGCCTCATGGATTTCCCATTCCCTCCTTACATCAACCAACTACTCGGCACTCTACTGAAATCCAGTCATAAGCTGTCTGTGGATAAGCCTTTCACTGTGTCCTCGAGCCTCCCAGGAAAAGGTTCAACCACTTGATTTCTTATCCTTTTTACTTACATTCCCTTTCAGGTAACCTGGCCGTGGATAGCAAGAGACTTGTCTCAGTTCAAAGAAGGAGGGTTGGCAGTTTTGGATCTTGGCATATGGGATTTCACCTGGCAGACAGGCAGGCAAGGTAAGGTCCTTCTAGACCGAGGAGCAAATGGGGCGAGCACCGGTGTGAAGAAGTGAGGGCTCGAGAATGATTCTCCTTGAGGCTTGCTGGGTGGGTGGGGCTGGTGGGGTTCGAGAAGTTGATCTCCAGTTGTGGAGGACCTTGAATGTCATGGGGTCTTTGTTCTCAAGAACATAGGGATCAGGCCCAGATAAACCCAGATGCAACTAAGCAGACCCCAGAGATATTTCAGTCCTAGCGCCATGCAGCTGCCAAAAGTCAGAGCCATTCAGATTGTTACGGAGGATTGTGGAAAATCAAAGGAGCACTTAATTCTCTTTCCCTGTTTTTGAGTTTTCACTCTTTTGCCTCCAGCATCTGTCTTTACTGCCCTCCCACCTCAAGTCCTAATTGAAAAGCTCATTCTTTTAAAATCAGACTTATTGATCCTTTCCCTTCTGTCTCCTCTTTTTTTTTTGAGACAGAGTCTCACTCTGTTGCCTGGGCTAGTAGAGACGGCTTCTCACTCTTGCTCAGGATGGTCTCAAACTCCTGACCTTGAGCAATCCGCCCGCCTCGGCCTCCCAGGGTGCTAGGATTACTGGCGTGAGCCACCGTGCCAGGCCAGTCTCCTCTTTCTTATAAGAAACTCTTGCTCTTGTTGCTGATGTCAAACTGTTCTTTCACCTTAGGGGGCTGTAATTTTTGACATTTGTTATCCTCATTTTCTACAACCAAAGCCCATGGACCAAAGCTGGCACTACCAGAATATCTCTTAGGAGGCAGGGAGCGTGAAGCTATCAGCCAAAGAAAACATTTTCAGTGGGGAGGGAGGATCAAACACTTATAATTTAATACTTTGAAAAAATCTCCGTCACATACGGCCCTTCCAAAAATGGAAGACAGAATGGAGAGGTGGGAACCTTAGGACAGTAAGTTACAAAGCTGTTGTATAATGATAATCCAGGTAAGCACTATTCAGTTTCCAAACTAAGGCTGACGGTGGGGATAAAGAAGGCTGATTCCAGAAATCTTTTTTTTTTTTTTTTTTTTGAGACAGAGTCTCACTCTGTCACCTGGGCTAGAGTGCCGTGGCATCAGCCTAACTCACAGCAACCTCAAACTCCTGGGCTTAAGCGATCCTCCTGCCTCAGCCTCCCGAGTAGCTGGGACTACAGGCATGCGCTACCATGCCCGGCTAATTTTTTCTATATATATCAGTTGGCCAATTAATTTCTTTCTATTTATAGTAGAGACGGCTTCTCACTCTTGCTCAGGATGGTCTCAAACTCCTGACCTTGAGCAATCCGCCCGCCTCGGCCTCCCAGGGTGCTAGGATTACTGGCGTGAGCCACCGTGCCAGGCCAGTCTCCTCTTTCTTATAAGAAACTCTTGCTCTTGTTGCTGATGTCAAACTGTTCTTTCACCTTAGGGGGCTGTAATTTTTGACATTTGTTATCCTCATTTTCTACAACCAAAGCCCATGGACCAAAGCTGGCACTACCAGAATATCTCTTAGGAGGCAGGGAGCGTGAAGCTATCAGCCAAAGAAAACATTTTCAGTGGGGAGGGAGGATCAAACACTTATAATTTAATACTTTGAAAAAATCTCCGTCACATACGGCCCTTCCAAAAATGGAAGACAGAATGGAGAGGTGGGAACCTTAGGACAGTAAGTTACAAAGCTGTTGTATAATGATAATCCAGGTAAGCACTATTCAGTTTCCAAACTAAGGCTGACGATGGGGATAAAGAAGGCTGATTCCAGAAATCTTTGAAAGGGAGAACCGACAGGCCCTGAGGTCTAATTATGTTGAACGGTGAGGGGAAGAGAGAGCCTAAGATGACTTCACATTTCTAGCTTGGCCAGACTGACTGACGAGCTTTCAGTGAAATGTGCGATATGGTGGCAGAGAAGGAAGAAGATGTAACAGTGGCTTAGAGTTGCTGTGGGAAATTCAGCTTTAGTGTCCAGTTGGCTATGGAGTCTGGATGGAGCTTAGGAGGAAAGTGTGAGCTGGGAAATTGAGATGGAAAATTGTCTTTCACTTTTAGATGGTGAATGCGGTCACGGGAATAGATGAGTTTACCTGGGAAATACAGACAGTGATTAGATTTGGCTTATTATGATGTTAAAATAATACCTCATTAGATGTTGTGCCAAGTAATTTATATACAGTCTCTCTTACTAAGCCCTGATAGGGCAGGTATTTTGATCCCACTCATACTGATGAGCAACTTCTAAGAAGGTGTCTTGCCTGAGGTCCCACAACTAGGAGGTGGCAGAGCGAGGCTAACGCAGAACTGTCAGATGAGCGGTTCTTAGTGTTTTTCTTCTTGTTCACAGACTCCAAGAATCACACGAAAGGAGTTATGGATCCTGTCTGACAGAAGCACAGGCACGCCACATTTTATATTCCGTTTCTGGGATTTCACAAACCCGAAGCCCATCTCCCGTGGCCCAGAAGGAGAAGAACACCCAGGACAAGACCCTGGGAGAAAAATATTTGGGTGAAGATGTATGGAGAGCCAGCACTAGAATGAAAAACCAGAGAGGTAAGAGAAGGCAGGGAAGGATGAAATTGAGATGGTTTAGAGCAGGGGTCCTCAAAATTTTTAAACGGGGACCCAGTTCACATTCCACACGTGCGCACTGTGGGCCCGGGGCGAGTTGGCTGCTAAGCAGGACAGGTGGCAAAAACACCCAGAGGGCCGGATAAATGTGCTAGGCGGGCCGCATGTGGCCCGCAGGCCGTAGTTTGAGGACGCCTGGTTTAGAGAGTTGGAAGCTTAAAGACATGACTCCATGATAATTATCAATGCAGTCAGCCCACTTAGGGAATATTTTATTCTCCTACTACTTTCTCCAAGATAATTGGAACAGCGGGAATTGGTTGGGTGGAAAAGTTATAAGAACTGGCAGGGAGATTGCCAAGGGATTGAGTGTAGATTTGGCTAAGTGCTTTATGCTGGTTTGCATTGGGTATTCAACGAAGAGAACGGGGAGCTACTACCGTGTTTCCCCGAAAATAAGACAGGGTCTTATATGTATTTTTCCTCAAGAAGACACCCTAGAGCTTATTTCAGGGCATGTGTTTTTTTAAGTACAATACAACAATCTACATTTATTCAAATAGAGTTAAGTCGTTGTCTTCTGGAACATCATCACAACTCTCCAAACCCCGAATCCCATCCTGAATTGCTTGAGACTCTTATTTCCTTTAGGACCATTGGCCCCGATCTCCCCTGTCGAGCACTAGAGCTCTAATGGGGCAGAAGAGAAGGGCTGCTCGTGTTCTTTCCCGCTCTGCGACGACATGCATGGGTTGTGCAGATGCGCTGCGTAGCCACGCCCATCACTAGGGCTTATTTTCATAGCCATGCCCAGCACTAGGGCTGATTTTCATAGCCACGCCCAGCACTAGGGCTGATTTTCATAGCCACGCCCATCACTAGGGCTTATTTTCGGGGTAGGGCTTCTATTGCGCACATTTTCATAGCCACGCCCAGCACTAGGGCTTATTTTCGGGGTAGGGCTTCTATTGCGCACATGCTTAGACATCCTGCTGGGGCTTATTTTATGGGGAGGGCTTATTTTTTGGAAAACATGATGTGTAGAATCTATACAGTCACTCTTTTTTTTTTGAGACAGAGTCTCGCTTTGTTGCTCAGGCTAGAGTGAGTGCCGTGGCATCAGTGTGGCTCACAGCAACCTCCAACTCCTGGGCTCCAGTGATCCTCCTGCCTCAGCCTCCCGAGTAGCTGGGACTACAGGAGTCCACCTGTAGTCCACCTGCGCCACCATGCCCGGCTAATTTTTTCTACACATATTAGTTGGCCTATTAATTTATTTCTATTTATAGTAGAGACGGGGTCTCACTCTTGCTCAAGCTGGTTTCGAACTCCTGACCTCGAGCGATCCTCCTGCC